TACAAGAATCAAATAAGAACATCCTAAAGTACTAAAAGTGCAAGTTCCTCAGGACAAAACTACCACCGTCGGTAACACTGACTGACTACGCTTGTTTGAAGGACGTCGGCAACAGCAACGACAACGACGACGATGACGATGACGACGACCAGACGTCAGCAGTAACAACAACAGCGACGATATATTGACCGCTACTATTAGTGGCAGAAGAAAAATTTTAAATTCCTTCTTGTCTTACAACGATTTTCGACGAGTTATATATGCCGTTAATATTTAATTTTTGAATAGGCTATTATTCTGATCGCATGTTACCAGATGAATCGGTTCTCTCGTACAGGTCATCTTTGATTCATCAAGTTGTCTCTATCAGATTCATCGATGATTAATAGCTTTCTTTCGTTCACTTTCAGGAATTAGAAATCAGTTGAGTAACTGAAGATTCGCAGATAAACAGTTATAGGTCAGAAATTTTTTTTGACCAGCTTTATTTCATTCAATTTATTTTTGCATATCTGAGTGTTGCGGTAATAGGAACCATATAGAACACACGATAAAAACGGACCAGCAGAGCGAAACAAACATGTAAACTGTTGAGGAATAATCATTCAGGTTTTTAGAACAGTCAGCTTCTACGCTGTTGAAGCGTAAATGTGAAACTGTTAGGTCGTTGTTATTATTGCCATTTCAATGTAAGCACGGGAATCCAGCTAAAACTGAAAATTGAAAGAAGTTAATTAGGTATTAAAGAGGCTAGCAGTCAAAGACAGTTGAACAGCCAAGCAAAAATAAACGCAAACGTGTGAATTTGTTGTTGTCCTCTGCAAAATGATACCGAAGACGTTTATGAATTTCCAGACAATACAGTCGATTATAGAGTTTCGGAGTAACGCAGTCAGTACTGGTGCTATTCCGGCACAGTGTACAGCGATGACGTAATGGATGCAGTTCAGTGATCAACGACTTTTAGGCGTTAGAAATGAACACTTATTGAGGAAGGTATGCTGGCCAGTTGACAGAATTGTGTACAACCAGTTTTCATGTAAAGCTTTTTCTGGAAGCAGTAGTAACATTACAGTCATTTTTTTTTTTTTTTCATGAGGCTATTGGACAATTTTCAAGAAATAAATGAATCTTTAAAAATGATTTCGGGACGCAAGGGCCAGGCAAGTGGAGTGGCGGAGAAAGAGAAGAAAAGAAATGTGTGTTATGAACAAATCCAAAGTTGTACTAGTCAGATCAGTTTTATTAAGCAGTCAAGATGCTCAGGCTTACAATGCTTCAGAAACTGTATGCTACTAAATGTTACGAAAAAGCATAACAGCATTCAGTTGTTGATGTGATGGCTGGAATGGCTTTTTCGGGGCCTCTGAAGTTCTTGTCTGTTAGAATAAAAGAAAACGGAATTTCACGTACACTTTTAATGAACACTTTAAAGAAAGCGGGATTTTACATACATTAGAAGTGTACGTGAAATCCCGTTTTCTTCAGTTGTTAAGATTGAAGCTTTGAACGCTAACTTATTACTACAATGGAAAATCCCTTTTTATACTGCGAGCGGGCGTATCAGTTTTATGAAATGTTTTTCACTGCTGTCTTTATCATTTATTTGTAGAGTTCTTTGAAGATTTTCAGGGATGGGATACTATAACCAATGGTGACACCAATTTAGTAAGAATTAGCGATAAAGACTTCTAAAATATGCATAGTCAAGGTCAAACTTCCACGACAAATTAAGACTGCTAAGCAAAGTATGATAAGAAGGTAACAAAAACGAGTTCAAGTTTAGTTATTGCGGTGACTTGATTCAGTTTCAGCAATATGACTGCATACTTCAGGACGTCGTTTTAGAGCACTACGATGTGCATATGATATTAAATCTTTCAAATTATTTTTTGGTCAGTTACATCTGTTTTATCTTTGTTTAACTAAAAACCCCGCAAGTGAAAAATCCAGGCAACAGTTGCTGAATGGATTGAAGGATCCGGAAGTTTTTCATAAATGAGATTAAAAAGTTTGAGCGTAATAAGCATTGAGATTTACACTTTTGTCGATGAGTTAACCAATTGTCGTTATGAGATATGAAGGTTTTAAAGGCTTGCGATAGTCTGATTAGGTAAACAGATCTGCACAGATTTAACATACGCGTTTGTTACCATGCTTTGTTAAAAAAAAATTTTTCTTTACCATAATAAAACTGAAACTTTATCACACTCGTTTTTAACTATTATGCATCTAAATATTTCTTATTTCCAGAATAACCACTAAAATGTTCGCTAGAAGAAGAACTGCTGATGCGTTTGTATACAGTGCTAAATCACAGCACCTAATCATAGTTAATTGGACGGTATTTTTCAGAATCATTACACCATACATAAGTTTTTTCTAATTAATGAACTAGTTTTAGTAATTAATTCTGTCAGCATTTGCTGAAACTGCCGAAATCAAAGTATCTTTTAAATCGTGTAAGGTTTCTCTGTTGCACTAAAGAATTGATATTATTTTTCGTGACAATTATACGGGAATATAATTTGCCAAACTTTATTAAACAGAGTGAAGCAATTTGAATAAAGAGTTATAGGGCTTATGTTTTCAAAGACGGATGAATGTGTAGCTCAAGTAATCGCAGATCAGTTTTATTTCCTAAGCCTAAGTCATTTAAAATCTTATCAGCTTACCAGAATTGACTTTCATTTTGAAAAGTCCAGTTACTTGTTTAAAAAAATGTAGCATGAATTTTAATAATTTTTTTCACATACAGAACAACCAAGGGAGGCAGTGAAAACCATTAATAAATATTATCATTGTATGGAACATATGTCAGTTTAAGTTGGGAATTAGTACTAAAAACTGTGAAAGGAAGTTAAGGAAAAAATTATTTATAGGATTGACAACTACAATGTAATTGTAATTATCATTTCTGGATAAAAAATTGTTGTTATAAACTATATTTAAGTTTAACTGATGGTTTCTAAAGTTAAACCTGTGCTTCAGGTGCGAATAATGCAACTTTTTTTTTTCTTCTTGCACTATTCATCAATGTTTTTAGTGTTTGCTGTTCAAGTGATAAAACATTTTTTCTTTGGTTTTTCTACTTTTATAACCTGAAAGATGTTTAAAGTTGCACTGTATACTATATTGGACAGCCTGGCAACTAGGTTACAATAAAGGCAAAATGAACAACTCTGAGTCAACAAAAAGATGTTGGAACGACTTAAGTCGAAATTAATTGGCAGTTATGAACAATAAAAATTCTGGCTTATTTCAGTTATTCTTCAAATATTGCTTTATACTGCCAAAAAAACCAAACGATGAATATACCGAAACATTTGGTCAACGTCCAATGGTCTTTTAACAACAGTGATTGTATCCGTAATACCAATGGAACGGAAAAAAGTGAGAAATCAGTTTCTGCTATTAAAAACAAATTTTTTTGCCTTTAAAAGTTTTTAATTTTTTTTTT